TGTTTTATTCTGCTTGTGCATGGAGAATAAAGATAGATGGATGAGGGAGCACAGGATACCCTTTTTGGTATGACAAAATATATTCCTCTGGTCTTCTATGTAGATGTATATCTTTCTGGTTCCTTCTTCTATGCAGCTATACTGACTGGACACATACCATGTAAATGTGGCTCCTTGCAACTGAGGTTCTAGTGTATGCTCAGTCATTACATCAAGTACACCAAGGCAGGACAGCAGTGGAAGGTTCTAGTGTTTGCTTCCGAAGCTCAGTCTGTCACTCACTATCTCTGTGGGGGACACCTGCAGCTTGCTTCCTCTAGGCTAGGATTGCACTCAATTGCAGTCAGCATCTTAAGGATACCTCCCAGACTGGGAGACCCTCCCAGCTTCCATATCCCTAGGCCCTGCGGCCTAATTTAGTGAATCACTGTGGCATCCTCACAGGGGAACACCCTGGAGGGAAAGACACTGTGCCAGGAAGTGCCTCAGATATTTAATAGCTCTCCCAGCATGCACAGCATGCTCTCCGGACCTACTGATTGGCCAGGCGTTACACATCCTTCATGTGGAATGTTATCTCCAGCACACCCTGCTGGTGGACACCCAACACAGCAGGTGACTGAATAATCACGGCACATTTAGAGAACACTACTAGCCAGCACAGCTAACCTGACTAATCTACCCTAACAGATCACAAAAGCGTAGGAGGAGAATTTGGAAAAATTCTAGATCCCTACAAAAATAAACACAATGAGAGGAAATCTACCAATATTCTGTTCAATTTGCTCAGTTAAGCTTTGAAAATGAAAGATGGAAGCTGATTGTTTGTTTGGCATGCACAGCTGCTCCAGACGTGTTTGGCACTTTGCAGGGCATGCTTGTGTTTCTAAAAGGAAAGCCTAGCACTGCCTGCTTACTCATTCACTGTGATCTAATTGAAAACCTAGACAAATCTTAAGGTGCCCATACACTCTACAACCCTCGCAAGACTTGGACAGGCAGATCGTACCTGCAATCATCGCAAACCCGCCCCGCTGAGGGGCGGGCTTCCGATGACTGCAATGCAGAACGGGCAGTGTGCGCGTGCGCACACTGGCCCGTTCGGCAGTGATCTCTCGATCATGTTAAAAACCAGCTGAAAATCGTACGATCATACATACAAATCATACACTGCACGATTCTCGTACGATCGCGGGATTTCCCACAATTCTAGTACGAGAATCGTGCAGTGTATGGGCAACTTTAGTCTGCTGGGTAGGAGGAGGTGACTTCTGACTTGCTCAGCCATATACAGTATGTATAGTTTGATCTCGGCATAATTCAACATTATTCATAACATGATATAGTTGGGCTATTCACAGCATAATAGTAAGACAGAGAGAGAAAGTGGTGCAGGGTAGCCTCAAACATGCCTATTAACTGCAATCAGTAAATATTATTATGCAATGTTTTATATTTTTATATTTTACGAGACTAGAAAAAAACAGTGTTTGAAAAAGCTACAAATTTGTAGTCCTTAATATAATAAATAAAAAAAAATACTTTCTAATTAGAAACGCTACTCTATAAAAAAAAGGACATTATTTAAAAATAAAAAAGGAAATAAAAATGTAACTAAATAAAACTAATTGACCCAAATGTGTGGGCTTTAGATAGACTTTCAGTAAATCTGTAGTGTTCCACAAAAATCCTCCAACTTTGGCAGTCGGTCACTTTATACCGTTAGGGACAATAATGAGCTCATATGACCGTTAGTAATACCGTAAGTATTGTCAGATGTGCTCATCATCTCAAATTGGTACAGAACTGAACAATGCAAAGCCAAAAATAAAACCCTTTTATAGCTCCTTCAGTGTCTCTATTCTGTTAGGGGGTGCTGTATTCAGTATATGCAGGTACATTATCACTTTCATTCACATGTAAATTAATATAATGAAAAACAACCCTACTATCTAGTTCTCTACTCGCCTGTATTCGTGTCACTTGTGTATTACCTATGCAAACATCATGTGTCTCTGTTTGACAACTGATAAGGATAAACAAACCTGTACCACCGTCTGTATTTTTATACTATTTTTATGCTTATCAAAGAGGTTTGATAGCAAGTAGCGGATACTGTATTAACAAAGGTAAATGTTTTCTTACATAATCTGCTGGCTGTGCATTTAGCAACATAGAAATGGCAAACGATGTCCTCCAAAGTAATAGATTGTACTGTCATAAGGGGACTTTACTGGGAGCAGCTGCTTGCTCTGATAAGGAGAACACGTATGAACAAACCATGAACCAGTCACTGTACAAAATTGGCTTCACTTTACTTTCAAGAAAAACTTCTAGATCCCTAATATTATTTGTGTAAAACATATTTTGCATGGTGGAAAGACAATTCTTTTTTTTTTTTTAATTCTTTATTAGTGAACTACAGAAATTCAGTACATCACGAAAGGGCAGCCGCCCATAACAAAGTAAGATTGGAAATGTTGATAGCACATGTATTCGTAGAACAATCATGACAGCAATAGAGTGAAAGCATTCACAGTACAGAGAATCAGACCATCAGTTAGTATAGTAAAACAAAAGACAATCCTATTATTATATCTTGTTGCATGTCTTTTACTATTTTCTTGCATTTTATTTAAAGAATAACACTTATAAAATCACTACATAAAATGTAACTTAGAGCTAGGGATGCACAGATACTAGTATCGGTGCCGATACTGAGTATTTGGGCGAGTACTCGTCTGAATGCTCCCGATGCCTATCCCGATACCGGAGATGTCCCTCTGACCAGCAGTGCCGAAGGAGCATGGAGCCAACTTCCTTTCCAATCAGGAAGCTGGGCGGTGGGTTATGATCTGCCTCCTGACTTCCTGATTGGCTTTGGAAGCCGGCTGCATGCTCCCTCGACACTGCAGGTCTGGAAGCTGGGAGACGGGTCATGACATGCCGCCCTGCTTCCTGATTGGCTAGGAAGCTGGCTTCACTTGTTGCTAGGCAGCCTGGCTTCCTGGCCAATCAGGAAGCCAGACAACACCTTATGACCCGCCGCCCAGCTTCCTGATTGGTCAGGAAGCCAGACAGCTTTAGCAAGTAAAGCCGGTGTTCTTTCGCTAGAACACCGGCTTTACAGGCAATCAGGAAGCCAGGCAGCGGATTCTGATCCTCTGCCTGGCTTCCTGATAATCGGGGCACACGGCCCCGGTATCAGTATGCGGTAAAGGCGAGTACCGAAACAAAATATCGGTGCTCGTACTCGAGTGCATCCCTAGTTAGAACCATCATTTTTTCACTGTCTGTATCCCTGTTTGGGTGGCTTACTAATGGTCCTTATCACCACTGTAACTGGGGAAAGAAAGTGAAGGTAAATCCAACATTTTTAGTTGCCTCCAGAACAAGGAAAAAAGGGAAAAACCTTCCAATGGGGACACTTTCTCCCTTGGCAACTAAGACACAGTAGAAGTCTACAGGTCAGGAAGTGAAGGTAAATCTACCAATTAAGGCAGATGGTAGACAAAAAATTGACAGCAGTTTTAACCCTCCCCTCTAGCCAAAAAAAATAAATACGTTTTGGCTTTAGATATATTAGAAGCCAAAGAGAGCCAGATATTTCTCTCAGTACAGTTTTCTTTCAATAAGGACTAGGAAGTACACAACTTCTGCCCATCTCCTGAGAACTAGCCAGGGACGTGCGGTCAGGGGAGGCAGAGCCTCACCTAGAATTATGGAGGAAAAAGCTGTCAGCTTCAAGTCTGGATCTGACAGCTTTTTCTCCATTCAGATCGGCATCTAACAGGTTACAGAGCAGGGAATCAGTGTAACCTGTCATGGATGAAGCACTGCCTGTTAATTACAGGCAGTGCTGCATCTGGCTTTGACAGGTAGGGGTGGGGTTTCGTCCAACGGGGGGCGGGGGAATGCCTCACCCGGAATATGAGGTACCGCACGTCATTGGAACTAGCTACTCTGTGGTAGTAGCTAGTTCCAGTGAGGAAGCCAGCTAATGTCCTTATATATTGTTGTGTATTAAGCACTTAAAAATGTATTATTTATTTATTGGGGAAGGCTCAACCCCCATCAGCTTATTATTGCTGTCTGTTTCCTTTTGGCTAACTGCATATCAAAAACCTGACAAAGATTTTATCTCATCCAGATCGAAATTAGCCTCTAATCATACTGATCGTATGATTTGCCAAATAAAGTCTACAGTGTTCATTACATCCTTCTTTAGGCTGTGCGGTCTGTGCTCTGGACTGTGTGTCAGAATATGTTCTATAGGCCTCTGTGGAATATGGTGCTCCAGCATCCTGTTTAATTTGTGTGTCGTTTTTATGTTCCCCCTTCTGTTTGGTGCTAGTTAGGACAGTTCCACGGTAGATACTCCCTTTTCCTTCATGCTGCTCAGTCCAGCTTTACTTTCCACCACACAGATAAGGCTTAGGACAGTCATGATTTTCTTACATTTCAAAAGACTGGAAAAGCATAATATGCATTGCAATTATCTAAAGTAAAGCTATATTGGATTCAACTTCTCTTTATTATTGAAGTGTTATGCTGCCTGTGGATTCTGCTAAGTAACAAGTGGCCAAGTTTTCCCTCACAGACTAGGACTAAGGAGGTATGTCATTGCATATATCGGCATTTGAAACTGAACAGAATTGACGGGAAACAGCAGTAGAACCTGTGGGATGAAGTGTTGGGTGGGACATTCACATCTTTATTTTATTGGACCAGGAGTATCGTGTCAGATCCACTACTGACCCATTCTTTCACACAATGTAATATTAACCTTGAGTTCTTTTGCTTCACTTGTAAAAATACTTTTTTTTTCTTTCTTGTAAAATAAGAACGCTTTTAAAACCTTGTGGTAGGGACACAGAGGTCCCTCAACCCTTTTTACAATAATTTGACAATGATCATAACTGCAAAATGTAGAAATATGAATTCTGCTTTTTTTATTTTCAGATGTACTTTGTAATAATTATTGTGTCTTATTCCCTTAGGCAGTATAGTCTATCTGGGCATGATGATAGGAGCGTTCTTCTGGGGAGGCCTAGCGGACAAAGTTGGGAGGAAACAGTCTCTACTAATATGCATGTCTGTCAATGGATTCTTCGCCTTCCTGTCCTCCTTTGTCCAAGGCTATGGATTATTTCTAGTCTGCCGGTTACTTTCTGGATTTGGGTAAGCTGACATTTTTCCTGTTATATTCAGTATATTTATTCAGTGAAAAGTCACAGAACTAAACAAGTCAGTTAACTAGTATGTTGTAAAATTGTATCAAGGGATAGTTTATGGCACTGGCTGGCAGAATTGCGGACAGTGTGGACATGCCCCTTAGGTTGCTCACGGTGAGAGGCCCCAGAATTTATGTTTGATTTGGAAAAAATAAACTTTTTATTTTCTTAGAATCTTAGTAAGTTATGTTCTGGGCCCTGGAGCCCAGAGGCTTTGTAGAGCTTTGGGTGGAATAAAGCGTCCATTCCTAGGTCCATGTCTTACCAGTTAGTCAGAACTCATAGTTAGTCTCAGCTGTCCTCAGACCTTTAAATATGTGAGATGCTTTCTCCGCTGTAGGAGCCTGCTGCTGTGTGAAAAGGCTGACCGCTGACAGAACACTAGAAAGATGCAAGTGCTACCTCTTTGTTTTGGTGAATACATTAGGTGCACTCTGTTAGGTAGTAACTTAAGTTTAGTAAAAGGCTTGGACAAGCAGATGTTTTGCTTTTGGCATGCACAGGTCTTGCTGTACAAAGCCCTCATGAACTGAAACTGTATTCGTTTGCTACCTTGCTGAATAAAGTGCAGGGCAAACCTGCTTGGATTTTCCCGAGTGCCCCTTTCTCATGCATGCTTTACCACTGCAAATACCATTTGAGTCTGTCCCCCTTACATATTTTGTATGTGTGTAATATACAATATGGACAGGTGAGGGTTTTTTTTTGTTATCTTTGGATTGATGGATGAGCTGGAGTGCAGCTTGGGGACTCTTTTCCATATATTGATGTAGTGTGCCTTTTTGTTCTGTCTGCTTCCTACCCACTGGAACACATGCAATATACAGTATATTAAATACTGTATATTGTTCAGTAGTTTCAACCAATACATATTAAGTGCCAGGTGATTGGTGCTGGTAGTTTTTGATACAGAGTAATGCCTACTCTAAGGCCCCTTTCAAATTAACCCTTGCTGTAAGCCTGCACTGACCCAAACACTCCTGTTGCTCACAACATCTGCACCAGGATTCTGTACATCAAAGGCCAACCCTTTTTGTGCTAAAAGATACCAGCACCCAAGTCACGATGCAGGAACCTCCTGATTTAGTACAAATGTATGCATGTCACTTAGTATTTCTGAAGTCCATGTTTGAAAATGAAACATGACTTCTGAAATTCTACAATTAGCCACACACAAAGGAGTAGAGGAAAGAGGAACATTCCTACAAGCAGACTGCCATGGGGTCTAAATATGTATGAATACAGAAATTAACCAGCAAGTGCTAAAGGGGCATGATAGAATACAAAATGCTCACAGATTCTTCAAAGATAAGTTTAATGAAATGTTACATCTCTTCCAGGAGTTGCACAAATATAAATTACTGGCAAGTCAGATCAATGAACTTTCATAGTAAGGAGCCTATTCACTCTAATAAATGTAATGATAATGGGCTTTGTTAGGAAGCATATTGATAATTTGTGGTTTTAATTAAATGGAGTAATTGATTGCTATTCGCTTTAATGGCTCAGTTCAAATGGCAAAAATCGCAATACATCTGAAAATGGTTACAATGTTTCTACTGCATCTTTTTCTGTTGCATTTATAGAACTTTAATATTTATTGGCAATGAATTATTATGACATAATTGAAACCCAAAATATCCCATACGCTTTATTAAATGCTTAAATTAAGTACATTGATGTTTCTCGTATTTCCTTCAAAAATAATGCTGTTATACATTAATGTCCAAGGTTTAAGGCATATGTGGTTTAATTGCAGAAGTGCTGTTATCTGTTCATAACTGTAAGCACTGTTGTTCTCTGCTGTAATTTGTTATTGTATTAAACTGCCCCTTATCCATCCTCAGGATACGTGGAAGCAAATCATTGTTCATGTTAATTACAGCTGAACTCCAGGCTTGCCATCAGCCTTGCACAGTTGTACAGGCTCCTCTCCTGCACTTGTAAGGCTTCTAGGATTAGTCAGGCCCTCTACCTCTTGTTGGGAATTGTGGGTGTGTAGCAGACATCTCAACTCTCCCAGGCATAATAAAAAAATACAGCATAGGAATGAATAGTTCTCCATCAGGTCCTCCTCTGCTGATGACAGCAGCAGTGGGCGGGTGCAATAGCCAACTTGCTATTGGCTATTGCATACTGAAATTGCGAATAGCAGCCTAGCTATTCATTTCTATGCTGTCCGTTGTTTTGTTTCGGAAGCCCTCCCCTCAGCGGGATTTGGTTTATGTTAAAAAATCTGAGGGTTTAATGTCACTTTAAGCTTAAAAAATGAAAGAGAGTACTCTGATAAATGCTTTAGGGGCTGTCAATCCATGGGTCACATGTTGCATACCTGGTGGATGTGTCCATTTGTATCCAAACTTTTTAAGCTATTGAGGACTTTGTTCAATAAAGACATCCCTAGATCTCCTTTGATAGCTCTTCTACATATCAACGTTGATGGACCAATCAAAACTCAACATACTGGTGGCTCACTGACAGTTGCCAGGCTCTGGAGAAAGCAATTCATTCATTTTTAAGCAGTCAAGCAAAGGATGTTATTATGACATATGAGTGCCTTACAAGTTTTTTCATAGACAAACTCAAAAAGTTTCTGTGTAAATGTGAACCCTGGATAAGACTTCAGACTAAACCCTGGTTTAAAAAGTACAATGTCTACATGGATACCATTTTTGGTTTACTTTTCTGTTTGTCTACAAAGTGTGCTGTGTAAAACCGACACTGTATACAAGTGGGATGTTCTTTTATTAAAATGTTAATAAAATAAAAAAATTAATATGGAAACAGAAAATTAAAGAGAGAAGCTCGAGACTCTGTCTGCTCCAGTTTTTATGAATTCCCCCCCATTGTGCTGGAAGGTGTCCCTCTCTCTCATTTGAGAAAGTTGCGTGGTATGCTGATGGGGTCAGGCCCGCTACGGGGTGGGGGGGGGCGGGGCTTGGCGAGGGCTGCTTTTACCTTCCCTATTGGCTGCCCTGCTGATATGTATCACCAGATACCCTCTGTTATGTGGGCAATGAAGACTCCCTAGGAAGTTGAGAAGGAGTTTGCCTTTGGTGCCTTCTTCAGTCCAATGGGACAACCCTGAAATGCAGACTGACAGCAAATGATTTTAAGGCAGGATGTTCTTTAACAAGATTGACAACAAAGCTGTGTCGCTCACAGGCAGTATTTGAACACATCCAACAGGACAGACTAGCTGCTCTGATTCCCATACCTTACTACAGTCCCGCTTCACAAATAGATTATAACATATATACTCTACTTGTCATACTGTCAGTTTCTCACTGGTCTGCATATAATTTCAATACAAAATATAAAT